ATGCATTTTCCTGACGCGCAATTTGCGCGCGCACAACCTCTCTCTCTCTCTTCTACCGAGCCTACACGAGCGACAATTGTTTCCGATTTTCCCCCCTGCTCGCTCTCTCCACCCTTTCGATTGTTTTTGTCCCCTCCCGATGTTTTTCCAGTTGTTTTGCCACCGCGTAATCTGTGAATCGATCCCTCGATTGATACCATTCCGTTCAATCTTGGACCGGTTTTTTCGTCCGGATTTTCGTCCGCCGTTTTGTAACGCTCTTTTAAAGCCGGGCTTTCCACGATTTTCCCAATCGTTATACCACCGGGTAGCAACTTTCCGTTGTCGGAATCTATCGAATTTGGGATAAGAATCGACGGTGATTTTTCATGGTTAACTGTTCTACGTACGCAAGTAAAGACACGTGTTCAAAACGGACCACGTGTCACGGTTAATTTGGTGCGGTTTCCATTCGGGAAATCGTGCTCAACGGAAGTCTACGACCGATGTGTGATGTTTGCGGATAAATCCTCATGGCCTGCCACCGCTGACCCTACACACACACCCGGTGGCTTCTTCTTCGTCTTCGCCTTCGTCTTCTTTCTTTCACCTTCAACGCTGAAACCCCCGGCCCTCGTTCCACCCTCTCCCTTCCGCTTTCCGATGCTCTCTTCCTCCTACCGGTATCCTCGCTAAATAATAAATACGAGAGGGTTCTCCGGGAATACCCCGAGGGTGCCATTAGCGGGGTACAGGCCTCGGACCACCCTCTCACACCCTTGGAAACCGTCCTCCGGCTTACACCCACCTCCCCCGTTCAGCTTCTTCCACGACCCGAAACGCGAGTCTAATACACTTAGAGGAGAGACGCGGCTCGCGTCTATGGATGGAAGGGTCCCTCACCGATCGCTTTATGGAGGCTGCCTCTTTTCTTTTCGTTTTCTTCGGCTCGCTTGACGAACGAGCCCCGAATAGACGAATGTCTTAAAGTTTTTGCGGAAGGACCGTGGGGTAGATCATATTTTCAATGCCATCGGTCGAGTTCGTTTGCATCTCCCTCTTTTATCTTCTCTTCTTTTTTTTTTTTTCTCTATCAGAGGAGAGGTATCGGTTTTTGGTTTCTACAGTTTGCTCGAAGGAGTCAGGATTAATCTCACATCGAAAGGGGAGGACTTTGAACGGAAGAAAACTTTTAATCAGCGGACACACCAGTTCTCTCTCTCTTTTTTCCGTTCGATCTTGTCCCCCGTGGAACAGACCACGGCTTCGTCCAGAATTCGATGCAAAGAAACATTGAAACGGTACCCGTCCACCTCCGGATATCTGTACCAGGCTTCCTGTAGATCTAATAGGGCGAGCTGGACGCCTGGAAAACGTTGACCACTCTCGCTCTAGCCGGTCAAACGGTTAATCGAGGCCATTGCGAACGACAGCGGTTCTCAGCCCGCCCCCTCTCCGTTCCGATTTACCGCAAACTACAGGCTCTACTTTCCAAACTTTTCGTCCCTCCTATAGATAGATCGTTTCCCTTTTTACTTGCCCCCGATTAAGATACACTCGAAACAACCGCCAAGAATATCTCCCGTACATCGATACACCTCACTTCATCCCCTTTACCTCTACAGTCTAAAGTGGTCGCAAAAGTGGCTCGAAAAATCTAAAATCGTCTCGTCTGAACACAATACACCACGATGTTCACCCCGCTTCTCGCGTTGAACGTGGCTCGTCGGTGGCATAGTGGTGTGCATGATCGTGGACAGGATCGAAGGACGCAACGCATCGAGGCAACATGCAGCCGGGGAAACGCGAGAGGCGGCACGAGGGGTAAGTATCAATAATTGAGCACCATGGGGGTGGCTCCGCTTGGCCATTTAGCGGTCGAACGAAGGGGATGGACCGCGGATACCCATGGTACGGGGATATCGGTGGATGTATCGCACGGCGAGGCCTGCTATCGACATGTCGACGATGCCAGGCCGGGGCTGTATATTCCACGATATAGGAAACTATCCTAGCCGCGATCATGATACGCGAAAATACCATCTGTCATTCGGGGGTGCGTGCCAGACCCCGTCCCAATGGCCAGCCACCACCCACTTCTCCCTTTCCACCGCGATTTTCACTCCGTCACTTTTCCTTCCCCTTCCTCTTAGGCTCCTTTCGTCTTTTCGGCGGACAACGCGAAATATTCACATTTAGAACGTTAACATTTTCAACGCTGTCCGCGGAATTTGTTGATTTTGATTTCGATTTTATAGGGAAATAGTCAGAGTACAAAGTGAGCGGCACTAAATGCCGAAAAGGTATTCCTTAAATAGTGTGACCGGAAAACCTAGTTAATCCGGAACAATTCCGGATCTGGGAACAATTGGCATAAACGACAAACGGGGGAGGGGAAGGGATGGGATAGTATCGAAACTAGTTGCCACCGACAGTCGTGCCCTCGTGAATAATCGTGCTCCGTAGTCGAATTCATTTTCCAATTAAGAGGTACCGATTTGCATTCGACTAGGGCCGCGCACCACGGCCGATCGATAGGTGGCACTAAATCGAGGTCGTCGACGGGAATCACCACATCGAAAAACGTGGTTAAGCGTGACTAACGATAGGCCCCGACGTCGCGGTGCAATGTGTCGAACAATGTGTACTTATCGCAGCACCAATCGAGCCCTCTCCTTTTCACGATTGCGCATCTCTCCATTCTTCCATTCTTTCGTCTGCGTGAAATCGTATCAGTCGCGCTGGCGAAAACCTCGCGAACTCGGCATTAATGCTTCACGGTTCTTGGCGTTATTAAAAATTTCTTCTGCCCCCGGTCAGAATGAATCCGTCTCGATTGTGGTTACCTTTACCAGATCGATAGAACGCTTCTACGAATACTGCTCGTTAATTTACAAACGTGAGATACTCTGTCGTTCGTTCGATAATATTCGATATGCATCGAAAAATACGCAACGCGTATCGGATTCGAAGGGGTTCGACACGCAACTTGGGTGTTGTAAAGGGGTGAAATTTCTCCGGTTGCGTTTACGCGTCTGGCGGTGCGGTTGTTCCGCTTCCGCGTTTTAACCCCCATTAGTGACCTAACCTGCCGGTACGACTGAGGACCAGGGTTCCGTTACACGAACAACTTAATGTTATGTAAAAATAGCTGGGGCTTTCGCTGGTTCTCCGGTGTATATTAAACGCGGGGTTGAAAGAAGACGCGAGAAACGGCGATGGGAAAGCGGGTGGCAGACGAGAGCCAGTCGAACCACGAGCAGATGCTCACCGCTCGAGGAATATCTAAATAAATCCGCGTGTCGGCCACCCTTAAAATCCTTGAGTCGAATAAGTAATAACGTTCGCCAAACCACCGGGTTAGGATCCTTCTTCTTCCCTTTTCTGTATTCCAGCTTGCCCTTGCCTGCATAAGCGAGCGCGTCCGATTTCGGGACTTTAATTGGCCCGGGGGAATTCCGCTGCGTGGACTTACTTTACGAGGAAACTTTCCAGATATTTCGTGCCCCCCGAGAGAGGAGACCGGAAAATGCATATTTTTCTTTTCCTTTTTTTTTTCCCCCCCTTCAACCGCGAATCTCGGGAAGAAAGAGGGAGAAGTATCGCGACGAGATATACTTCTATCCTTCTCCGCGGCGAGATTTAATCAGTTTCGCCTAGGCAGATTATGGAATGGTTGAGACAGGTGCGGAAGTTTCCCTCGTTCGTCACGAAGCTTTCTCTTCCGAAGCTTGTTCGAAGAGAAACGGGTAAAAATGATCGGGACACCCTGTATCGAACGTATATACGATCGTAGAAATGTTTTAATTTGCCCTCCACCTTTTCCGGGGATAATTTCTCCTTGTTCTTTAAGGGAGAACTTGCGTGATAAAACCGGATATACACCTTTGCCGGGTTTAATAAAACTGTAAAGTTTATGGGTGTCGTAAGCGTGGAACTTTTCAAATTTTGCTCATCTCTGTATATATACATTTCCATTTTTCTACTTTGGACAATACACTCGGATAATTTATCACATAAAATATAGGCATCCCTCTTTAAAGTACACCCCCCCCCCCCCGTTCCTTTTCTCTTAAATCGAATTCTGACCGTCCACGAAGTTCTTCGATAGTCCGGTTCTTAAAGGAGGAATTCGGTATAAGCGGAGTTCCCGGAGAGCAATTAGTTGACAGTAATCGTGGGCTTTAGACAGTTTTCGTACATAGATTAGCACGGGCGTTGTACCCTCGTGCAAACATACGAGAGGCCGGCGTCGAGTTGATCGCAACGACAGGACGATTTACGAGGTTTCACAGGCCTGCCTGTCCGCCAGATAGAGCGAATGTGTCAATTACGATAAAGCTCATCGGCGATCGATGTATCTGATGAAATTATTTAGACGCCTGCTGTCAAGCAACGACGCGAGTCTACACCCCCCCGATTCTACCGCGATATTACGCAGCCTCGCACTATTGTATCGCAAATACAATTACTCTACCTATAAATGTCCACTGTTGTATTCTAGCCGTTGCTTTATTTATATACTCGTGATCAGAACGCGTTGGGATAATTAAATAGACCCCGAGAGAGAGACTGGAACGATTAAGGACACACAGTTGGAGGAATTATAGATGGCTATTCAACCAACGACAGATATATTTGTATCGATAAAATTTATTCGAAATAGAATTGTTGTACAATATTGCAAAATTAGACGGTATGTTTGGACGTTATCGTGATAATTGACACGCCTTCCCCTCACATTTCCACCCGAAATTAAAGCCGGGCGCTTTGAACGAAAGGGGAACTTTCTCGTGAAACTTTGGTTGCTGTATCGCGAGGAGTATGATCAATTTTCCGTGTAATTGCATAATCTCTCGCGGTACGTCTTTCTTTACCGTCGCCTCTTTAACATTTCACTTTATCTTGCAATTTATCGCGAGCAGTTCATCCACACCGAACCTGTCAACTTGCTCACCCCTCCTCTCAAACTTTCTCTACCCTGATCACTTTTCCGTTTCATTCGTTATCCGCGTAAACATTTATCTTCGCCCCGAGCATTCTCTTGATAAATTATCACTTTGGTTTGGGCCGTTCGTAGAGGAATCTTTGACACGACGATTTTCCCTGTGTTTCTCCTTTAAATCGTTCTTCTTCTTGTCGATTTCGGTCAGTTTCTCGAACAATTTCTTCTCGTTCGTCGCTTTCCTCATGTCTTCACCGAAAGCTACTTCCTCTAATTGCTGCTCGTTCTCCATTTTCCATGCTTGACGTTTGTTCAGCAGTATTACTTCGTCCTCCACCATGTTTTTTCCTGTTACAGCTTCTTCCTCTACCGACGAATCCTCTGTAAAAGAGAAATGCACCGACACAATAAAATACGATGAAAAATAAGAATACTCACTTTTGGAATCTTCGTTAAGATTGCTTCCAATCTGCGACTGGATGTTACCTTGTTTCTCTTTCAAGGAATGACCACTGTACTTAGGAAAAAAATACACCCACGATAAGGTTCGTTGTTTAGTAATTATTTTTACCTGGTCAATTTGACACACACTTTTCTGCACCTTTATTTTCCACGTTATCCCTTTTCTCCAGAGTACCGACGCCGTCTCCTTTCGACTTCACGTTTCTCATATCCATAGAAGTATAAATTAACGGTTCCTCGTAGCCTGAATCGTCATAGTCCCGAAAGGCTTTGTCCAAGTATTCGCGTTTTTGTCGGAGCGCTGGAGCTTTGTGCACAGTGTCCTTATCTCGTGACTGATCAATAGCACTTGCACCTTTGTCACGCTTACCGTGTTTCCTTTTGCGCTTTTTATGCTTTCTCTGCTTCTTATTACGCTTTGCACGCTTGTCCAGGCTCCGGATTATTCTCTGCCCTCTATGAGAAACATCAATACCGTCTAAAAATGTACAGGGTATCTTTATGAGACGCGGAGGAGTCGACGTTGAATCACGAGATTGTCGCGAACGTTGAAGTTACCGGGTTTACTCTCCCGTAAAAGTACTCGATCCGTGAGGAAGTTTACGTTGCTCAGTTTCAAGGGGTTCGGGGCATTCATTAAAGGCGAAAAAGTAGCTGGCCTCGTCGAATAACTTCCGTTACTCGCGTTACTCATTCCTACTTGATACTGAATAATGCTCCCGTCTTTACCTCTGCTCCCTCCAATTGGAGACGACCATTTCCCTTTCTTTTCGGACTCCTCTTTCGCTTCAATGTACTCCAGCAACAAATCTAGCTGCCTCGCCTGACGAACAAACGTGGAAAACAGGAAAATCTTCGGGAAGAGAGGGCAAGAAAAATTCGCGACTAACCAGATAATCTTGGATCGACTGAATCTTCGCCTTGTCTTTGTCTCCCAGAGTATTGTACTCCTTTATCAGACTTTTGATCAGTCGAATCTTCGTATACAACTCGTTGATTTCTGCCTGCATTTCTTGGTTCGGAAAGCTCTGGAAGAGGAACTTGTCTCGTGGAAAATGATCTTCGGGTTTTCCTTCGTTTATCAGTGGCAACGATGGTTGCTGAAAGACAGTTGAATCGTGGAATATTTGATCGAAAGTTTTCATCGAGATTTAATTACTTGTATTAAAGTTTCTTGCGGATTAATCTCCAACATCCAGTCTAAGAATTCTATCAAATCCGGCGGCAGAGAGATGCAAGTCTTTCTCTGTACTTCGTCAAAAATCAGGCGATTCAGGAGGAGCATAATTTTGTTCAACAATTCTTCCGTGTGTTTGATCTGTCGAGTAGATGTTTAGTGAATGAAATAGCGAACGACTGGTTTGTTAGGAAAAGAATTTATGGACAAACTTCGTCGTCGTTAATAGCCTGACGATACGATTTCTCAGCAGCCACAGTGTCTCTAGTTTTGTGTTTCTGATAAAGTCCTGGACCCAAGGACATTTTCAAATCTTCGTTCTTTTGTACCTGATCATGTCGTGGAAATGTAGGTAATGTTATTTTCCCCAAAAAACGACGGGAAAGCTACCTGATTGAATATTTGCTCCACGATCTTGCCAGCAAGTTCGCCTTGAAGAGCTGAATCCATCTGTGATTCATCTTCCATATTGTCAGCTGTTAAAAGCGAAGAAATCCTTCTCGTTTGGACATCGTTGTCTGCATTCGTTACCTGAAAGTTTGTCGTCGTTCCTTTTTTTTTTTAATTAAATTACACACTACCCATTGTCGTATGTTTTACGAATTAGAATAATCATTACTTGACGACTTACATCTTCTTTTTCGTCTTTATTACGACCTCCCTTTCTTTCGTTCGCAGATTCATTTTGAGTGACTTTACTCTTTTTAACGTTAGTATGATGACTGGTGCTTTTAGACGCGTGTTTCTTATGTTTCTTATGCTCGTGATTCTTCGATTTCGAATTTTTCGCGTGTTTCTTGTGATGCCTTCGTTTTCTACTCTTCGCTTTCTTCTGCCTCTTTGGACTCCCGTGTTTCTTCTTCTTCTTCTTTGCGTTTGCGCTTCTGGCAACTTTGTTGTAATCATCCTCGTCCTCCAAGTAGTCGTAATTTTCCACGTACTCGTCCAAGTCGGAAAATTTCTGACGAGCATTATTCGCGTCGTCGTAAGAATTCAAACGCCGAGGATCGCTGTTCTCTTCCTCTTTCTCAGAATCATCGCGATGCTCCTGATCGATATCGTCGTAAAACGCGTCGTAAGGAAACATAATTTCCCTCTTAACTCTGGCGTTATCACCATTCTCAGAGTGTTCAGATTTGAAGGTTGTGCCGCGCCAAATTCGATCACTTTCGCTGGAACCGTGAACCGAATTCCCCTCGTCGATCGTCGTCGACGATCTTTTCATCCGATCTTCGCGTTCACTCGTGTTAGAACGAGCATACGTGATCGTACGTGGTTCGACGGTCTTTAAACTTCTACCCAGTCTCACTCTTACGTCTTTGTCGAAGTCATCGATCCATTCGAGAGGTTCTACGAAAGATTCGTGGAGGTCCCCCGAGCTAATAACCATCTGTTTCTCGCGATCTATATTTTGGACGTGTTCCCGTCCGCGTGGCAGCCGCGATTCCTGATATTTACGGTTCTCGTAAGGGGAACGCGAATCTGTGTCAATATATTGCCCCTTGTTCGTTAATGACCAGCTCGCGGCATCTTTTTCTGGGAGCGCGCCGCCGTTTCTCACTCCGTTCACCTGCGATTCAAGGTTTATAGAGCGAAAGAAAGTAAGCCGTGGCAATAATTTATCGGAAATGCTTAGGTGTGTGCTTGCTCTGTTCTTTTTTTTCTCTCTCTCTCTCTCTCTCTTTCTCCTACTACCTTTCTTTTTTCTTTTTTCTCTACCTTTTGTGCTCGCTGCCATTCAGCAGCACCGCCACCGATAGTACTCGGTCCTCGTAATTTTTCCTCGGTGCTGTTACTCTGCTCCGAGCCGCCTTTAAACATATCGTCCGTTCTTTTAAGGGCGATATAATTACTTTGGGAAACGTTCCTCGCTGCCGGGTTTTTCAACTGGCCAGATGATACGGTTTCGAAGGTTCCCGCGGCGATCTCTGATTTCCCTGATCCATTGTAAACGAGCAAAAGAGGCAATAAGTTGGGGCTAGAAGCTGAAAAGTTGATCGTGCGCTCGAAGTCGATTCGAGGAGGAATTGATTCAGTAACGTTTACCGGGTGTTCCATCTGGACCCGCGATTTCTGGTTGTTCCACCTGATCTTTAAACGATTCGGCTATTCCGTCTAATTTATCGTTCGATCCGTAGAACATCCTCTGGTCGCCTTTGATTCGTGGCTTGCTCTTCGTCTCGTCCTCCTTCCAGTCGTAGATCTTCTTCAGCTCTTCGTACAATGGCTCCACGTTCTTGGATACCTTTCGATTTCTGTCGAACCAAATATTTCAACAATATTCTCAACGTTAAATATCATACGTGGAAAACATACGTTTCGTCCACCGGTTGGATCTCCTCGAAAAGATCGTCGATACCACTGGATTCCGAACTTTTGTCCACGTTCAGAACACACTTTCGAGGATCGTGTACAGTTTGCTTAGTATCCCTATCCAAGAGCTTGCCTTCGTTTCCCTCAGCTGGACGATTTATCCTGCAGATAGATCTTTGTTCAGGTGAAAATGTCCAATATTCACACGTGAATATACACCAACATCACGATCACGTAGGTCAGTGTCATCGTTTAGATTTGACCATCATTCGACCATCTCAATTTACCGCTGACCTCTCGCGACTAATGCTGTTCACGTTGTCTTCACCTTGATCCCGGTTGCTGGTTCGAGGATCCCTCTGCCTCCGCGAATTTCACCTTCGTCGATAACGTTGACAAACCATTCGTATTCGCGGTTCTCTCGGTCAGGTTCTTTCCTCGCGATCGATCGATGCCGATGAATTCCTGCTTCGGTTCTTTGTTCTTCAGCTTCGACCTACGTTCTTCCTCCCTCTGTATCGCCTCTTCGTGCTTGTTCTTCTTCTCAGGCGGCGGACATACTAGCTCCTCATCTCCAGCTGCGATTAAGAAAGTGTCTAAATTTTCGTGCGATTCGAAAATTTGACGAAACTTTACTACGAGAGTGATCTAACACGTTTTCGTGTTAGACTTTCGAAGATGGGCAAGTGCACACATGATTACCAAGTCCCCCGTCGGATTCGATCATGTTCTTCTCTTGGTAATTATTTTTACTACGTTGTCGCTCGCTCGTCGGTGACGATTCTTCGCGATCTTGTTGCTCCGCGTCGCTGTCGTAATCGTAATACTCGATCACGTTTGGAGCACGCCTGTTTCTTTGCGACAACTTTTGCTTTTTCTTATTCAGCTTCTCCTTGATCAGCAGATTCACCTTAGCTTTCTTCTTCTTGTCGCTGTACCCCGATCTCTCTTTTCTTCGCGTTGGGGCATCGCTCTTTTCTGAAATAGATTCATTTCTCGTACCTTTTTCCTTACCGTTATACACGTGTTATACAATCGATTTGATTTACCTGCGCTAACTTGTCGCTGACTCTCCTCCTCCTCTTTGTCGTTGTAATTCGTATCAACATCTTGGAGATCGTCGTTGGAGTATTCCATGTATTGTAGTATCCTTCTGCGACCGTATCTATCGTCTCCAGTCTTGACTATAAATACTTGGTGGTATTTCTTTTTATTCTTTCCTTCGTTATTCCTCTCGTTTAAACTCTCTTTATCGTCGAAATCTTTCACCGATTCCCTCTCCTCCTTGTTATCACTTAATTGTCTCCCCTCATTGTTCAATTTGTTCTTCTCACCTAACTCATTACACTTCTCCGCGGCAGCCTGATCGACGTTCGTGTTCATTTGATTTCTAGCTGCTCCCTCGAACCAGTTTTGAGCTCCTTCGATGACACCCCTTTGTCTCGGTTCTTTGTCGAACTTTACGGAGTTCGCGAGTCGTTTTTCATCCACGTTCCTTTGTTTCATGTTGTCCGTAGACCCGGGCGTGTCTTCGTGCCTCTCTTCCTTAACTTTGTTCTTCCCAAAATGAACCAGCACACCGGCAAATGGATCTTCGCCAGCCATATTTCGTACTTCTTTATCGTTCGTTTTAATAGGTGTATCAACCTCGGCCTTCTCGATTTTCACGTTGAAAATCGTGGAAACAGATTTCCCAGGTTTGTCTTCGTTCCCCACGATCGTCTTCTTCTTCACGTCGAACATGTTCAACGTGAACGGTGGCTTTTCACCTTTCGCTGAACTTTCACCGGCACCGGTGTTGCTGAGCTCGATCAGATTTTTATTTTCCGATTTTAGAAGAATATTGATATCCCCCGATTCTTCCGCGGACCTCTTCTCCTGCTCTGCTCGCAGAGACAATTTTCCACGCTCCTCGTCTGCCTCTCGGACCTCCTTTGTGCGTTCGCCGTTTTGATACAGATGCCCTTGAGGTTCAAAGACTTTGATCACCTGTTCTCCCTCTCCCGTTTTCTGCATTCTGGCTTCTCCGTTACTCTCCTCTCGACCGTCTACGCTTAGGCTCGAGATTTCGCCGGAAGAAACAGGCTGGTGCAATTCATTCGTCGTGGATTCGAAGGTTCGCAAAGAATTTCCCCCGGGACTTTCGCTCTTTTCTTCCTTCCTCATCAACCTGTTTTCCATCGCGTTCACATTTTCACGCGATAGATCCGATTGTTCGTAATTTCTGCTTTCGTCCCTGTTTCTGCCCGCTTCTTTCGTCAGTTTCGAATTGACAGCGTCTGGAAGATTGTTCGTTAGGTTGCTGGTTTGTTGCAGATCTGTGTCTGCGTCGCTACAACCAGGAGTAGCTTTTGATATCTCCATCGAGTTTTTCTCTTCGTCTTCTGGGTTGTTTTTAGACCGAGCTTCGTTTAAATGACGTTTCTCATCCGACGGCGTGCCTTTGCTGCGCCTTTTACGGTCATGAGACTCTTTTAAGGTGTCCTCTTCAAGGTACGGCTCCCCAAACCCCGCTCTATGAAAGAGTTTCGGGTTACCATCGTCGTTATTAACTTCAGTCCTCTTCGTTCTCCACACTTTCAGATGAGCATTCTTCTCGTCAACATCCTCATCGTCCTGTTCACGCTTTTTTAAGTCCAGCTTTTCTGCTTCTGCGTTATCCCACCAGCCGGAGTTCGCTGAAAAGACACGCGACGCAAAAGTGACATTTCTACGACGTTCAAGTGTGAGTTGTATGAAATTAAAAGTCTCACTGGAAGTACCATCGTCGTCGTTCTCTTTCTCGTCTTTTCGTTGCTTATTTCTCGCGCGAGCTCTCCTTCGCTCCTCGTTTTCCTTTTCCTTCGTTTTCGTAGCGCCTGCATTTTTCGAATTCTGACGATGCTTCCTCGAGTCTCCGTTCAGACTTTTCTTCAATTCTAATATCGTTTCCTTGAGAGACTCCAGCGATGGCGCCTCATCTTTCCTCGTTTCATCTCGTTGATTTCTCACGTTTAGTCGAGCGTCCCTCTTTGCGTTCGCCTCTTTGCCGATGCCCGTGGAATCTGCTTACATTTGTTTTTCCAGCGTGAGTATTAAAATTCTCGCGTGACAATTGAAATCGACGCAGGTGTTAATTCATACCGCGGATCGATCGATCATCAGGACTCGCGTTCGAGTTCAACCAGTCGCTCAGAGAACAGAGATCTTTGGTCTTGGACCAGTCTTTTGGAATCTGATCGATGTCGGAAGGTGCTTTATCGTATGGAGGAGAAGGATGAACCTCTTTATTATTCATTCTACAACAAAAATGCATATTTAGCGTAAGATCAATTATTCGTAGGATTTCTTAACGATAGGAATTTGGTACCCATTTTGAGACGCATCCGTGTCGTCGAAATCGTTGCTTAAATAATTCCTCGAAGGAAATTCAGGAGCATTCGACAATGTTCCGTAGCTCCGACCGGAGCCTCTCTTCTCGCGCAATTTACTGCTACGGCGGTTGCTCCTTTACGAATATTTTATTTACGATAGGAAAATCGTCGATGCGATCATTATTCTCACTTACTTCTCCAAATTTTTCTCGTTAATATTATGCACAGTTTGGTCTATCCACTTGAAATCTCTCTGAGCCTTCAAGACGTTTTCGAGAAACTTGTTCAACGCCGAGCTATTCTCTCCGGTAGCTTTAGTCGATTGTCCGTTACGATTATCTTCCCTATTTTTCACCTGCAATAATTGATATCTACGTAGCAGCACCGAACGAGCCAAATTTTCAGCTGAAATTGCACGACAAAACGTGCCATTAACGCGCGCGGTAGTCGCGGCGAGATGTTACTCGGTTAAATTTCATTCAACATGGCGAAAAACACGAGAGCAGGAGGAAATCAAAAGACGGGGAATGTCCTGTCGTCGACAATTCTCCTTCTATAATAATACCAGCCGCGGTTCCGCTACGCATCGTGTCCGTGTTCCCGTCCTTTTTCCAACCGCGTACGAGACGCGGCCAAGACAATGGGATTCTCTACGTAGAGAAGGCGCGCGGGGCCGCGGATACGGGCACGGTGTTATTAAAAATTCACTCCTGCCAGCCAGCCATCAGGTGGCTGCCAGCACGCGGAAAAAGGGGTGGAAAGCTCGAGCGTGGAAACGCCAGGGCCGAGGGGCTTTGCCCTACCAGACACTACCAGAGTTGGCCCTTTTCGTGCCGCGACCACCTCGTCGCCTCCACGACCGAACAAAAAAAGTCTTACACCCAATTACACGCGGCATTTAACTAAATAAACACTCGCCATCTTCCTCCTTTTCCCACCCCCCTCGTCTTCTTCTATGGGTGTCTGCTCAGGCTTCTTCTCTCCACCTTCCTTCGCTTCCCCTCTCTCTGTTTTTCTGAATTTTTCCGTCTCTGTTTCGTGTCCTGTTTCTCTGGACCCTAATGAAGTCCCGCTTTAATGTACCTTACTTTACGCCTCTTTTTTTTTTTTTCCTCGGAACGATCGTCGGTGCAAGCGTTGCAGAGATTCCGAGGTTGCCCTCGTTCTTTAGCTCCGCTCGGTTATGGTAGTCGGAGAACCGAAATGGAACAGGATGTTCCCCTATGCGATCACTTGTTGAATGTTATGTAAATCCTTGGCGTTCATTTGCATCGCGGCAGGATTACGCGTTTCTCTGTTACCGGTGATAATAAAACGCGAGAAGTTAAAGAGTTGAGGTTCGGACCGCGCGAGCTAATCAGCAAGGGGGGAAAAAATACGTAAAAACGAGCATTGTAAAAATGAACATGGACGATCTTGGGCTTTTTCTCTATTGTTCCGTCGAATAATTAAAAAAGCTGGCCGGAATGTGTGCTAGACAGAGCATGAAATGCTATAGCTTCTAGCTTTGCCGTTGATGTTATTCCGTTATTATCGTTTTTTCCCCTCTTTCTTTTTTTTTTATTTCCGAATCTTTCTACTCTGACCTAGTCTGGGTGTGCCTTGCACGCTCCGATAAGCCTAAAAATATCCCGGCTGGATCGAGTTGGCCGCAGGAAGGTGCCGCGTTAACGGGATCTCGATCGCGGCGGGTTCCTTTCCTCTCCGTCAATCGCGTTCCCGCGGAGGGTGGTTGGCGCTCGCCAAAAGTACGGCGAGCATAATCAATCACGAGACGTTTTCGGTGTGGATACGCGGGCCGTGCCAGCCAGCCATCAGGTGGCTGCCAGCACGCGGAAAAAGGGGTGGAAAGCTCGAGCGTGGAAACGCCAGGGCCGAGGGGCTTTGCCCTACCAGACACTACCAGAGTTGGCCCTTTTCGTGCCGCGACCACCTCGTCGCCTCCACGACCGAACAAAAAAAGTCTTACACCCAATTACACGCGGCATTTAACTAAATAAACACTCGCCATCTTCCTCCTTTTCCCACCCCCCTCGTCTTCTTCTATGGGTGTCTGCTCAGGCTTCTTCTCTCCACCTTCCTTCGCTTCCCCTCTCTCTGTTTTTCTGAATTTTTCCGTCTCTGTTTCGTGTCCTGTTTCTCTGGACCCTAATGAAGTCCCGCTTTAATGTACCTTACTTTACGCCTCTTTTTTTTTTTTTCCTCGGAACGATCGTCGGTGCAAGCGTTGCAGAGATTCCGAGGTTGCCCTCGTTCTTTAGCTCCGCTCGGTTATGGTAGTCGGAGAACCGAAATGGAACAGGATGTTCCCCTATGCGATCACTTGTTGAATGTTATGTAAATCCTTGGCGTTCATTTGCATCGCGGCAGGATTACGCGTTTCTCTGTTACCGGTGATAATAAAACGCGAGAAGTTAAAGAGTTGAGGTTCGGACCGCGCGAGCTAATCAGCAAGGGGGGAAAAAATACGTAAAAACGAGCATTGTAAAAATGAACATCGACGATCTTGGGCTTTTTCTCTATTGTTCCGTCGAATAATTAAAAAAGCTGGCCGGAATGTGTGCTAGACAGAGCATGAAATGCTATAGCTTCTAGCTTTGCCGTTGATGTTATTCCGTTATTATCGTTTTTTCCCCTCTTTCTTTTTTTTTTATTTCCGAATCTTTCTACTCTGACCTAGTCTGGGTGTGCCTTGCACGCTCCGATAAGCCTAAAAATATCCCGGCTGGATCGAGTTGGCCGCAGGAAGGTGCCGCGTTAACGGGATCTCGATCGCGGCGGGTTCCTTTCCTCTCCGTCAATCGCGTTCCCGCGGAGGGTGGTTGGCGCTCGCCAAAAGTACGGCGAGCATAATCAATCACGAGACGTTTTCGGTGTGGATACGCGGGCCGGAGGGGCGTAGACAGTTCGCATAGTTCCGAAACGGAAACGGTAATATCGCTGGCCCGGGGCGACCACCCCTTTGTCATTTTGTCATCCGGCGTAAGGACGAATTCGCGCTCCCTTCATGGAGGGAGGGAGGGAAGGCAGCGAAGGCGCGCGGGAAAGACAAAGCGGGACGGACAGTATGTTTTCCACAAAAAGAAATTAATGCTTGAGATATTAAAACGCGTCCGAAAGGAAACGTCTGTCCGACAGAGTTTGCCACGTCGCGTCGCGTACACTTTCCACTTTTCCCTCTTTAAGTGTCCGTTCTCCGTTGTTTTCCCTACTCGTGCGAGGACAAGTTACGTTTATTGGATTTTACGAGAACCGATGCAGGTTAAAAAGAAGCGTTTCTTCCGTTCTTTGGTAGAATTTTCATTTCCACAGACTACTTCGCCTACCGTAGAATCGTCGTTGTTTTCGTCACCGGTCGAGGAAACCTTGGTATTCTCCTCGGATCTCCTCGTATACGTATGTTCGTCCTTTGGAGCGTTGGCCGCGGTTAGGATAGGAAGAAGGACGACGAAGACGACGTAGATCCAGAGTGACGTCCTGTGACGAGAATCCAGCGGATAAACCACCCACGCGACCATCCTCGTCGTTCTCACCTGTGACAAAAGCGAGGTGTTCGATTTTCATCGAGCGCGTGTGGAACGAAAGCCTCTCCTTCTCGGTCGCTTAATGAATTCGTTCACGCGTACGAGAGACTGAAAGTGCATAACGGCCTATTAAGTCCAGATCCTGGAAAGACATTAATTTCACGGTGCACATAACTTTCCTGTCACAATTTGCATTCTATCCACCTTTAACACCCTTTAACACGGGGGGAAATTAAAAACGTCCGATCGTAAAGCCTCGAAAAGAGGTAAAATATCACCAGGCCCGCAGTCTGAATCGTAATCAACCCTTTCTCCCCCTTACGGATAAACGTTTACCAGTCGCTATTCTTTCGAATCGTTTTAAAAAGCTCTCTAACGAAAGCTCTCGGCGTAGCGGAGACCTGGATAAGGAGTAGAGAGTGGTGGAAGTGTATCGGTGTATCAACAGAGAGAGAGAGAGTACGCTCGCTTCGAATCTTGGAATTAATATCCAACACGGTCGCAGTTAATTTTACAAGGGTAATTTCGGAGAGTCGGACGGAAAGTCGGTGCCATTCGAGTTGGGTGGTTACTAAATTAAGGCTCTATAGAGGCCTGCAGTGGAAGGGAGGCGGTGGGGGGGCTACGTGCGAGGCAAAACGGGCAA